TTTCTTGGCAGAGATGAGTGAGTGCCTCCTGTGCTGCCTCACTTTCCTGAAAGATTTCAATTTTTATTCCATCAATTCCTGGTGCTTTGTTCTTTGCCACTTCTTTCAATGCACTTTAGACTTCCTCTCTGAGTATCATTGGCTCTTGTTCATATGGTATCTCTTGAAATGGTTGAACATTAACCATTTCCTTTTGGTACAGCACACTTTTATAGAAAACCCCATTTAAACTTGTTGCTACTAAATCCTGTTCATTTGTTTCTTCATTCAAATATTCAACAAATATTTACTGTGTACCTGCTCTGTTCCAGGCTGTTCTGGTAAGCAAAAACAGACATGGCCTCTGCTGTCAAGGAGCTTACCACTTAAAGGGATAGACAGATATTAGTTACAAAGTCCCCTCAAAGTGTTTATGACTCAGGGGAAAGGAAGGAACAAGGTGCTACACCCAGAGAGTCAGGAAAGGCTTCCTTGAGGAGATGACACGTGGGCTGAGATCTGAAATGTGAGTAGGATTAAAATAGTTGAGAGGATGGAGCTGAAGAGAGAACGTTGAGGAACAGGAAGCACTGTGTTACAAAGAGTAGATGTGAATGTGGCACATATTCAAGCAACTGAAAAAGGGCACCCATTGGAGCTCAGAACGAGGGAGGAATAGTGTATGATGTGACCGAATAGATGGAGGGATGGATTGGTCAGGACCTTTGTGAGAAATGGCAAGGCCACTTTGAGAACTTTCATCGTAATTTGGGTTTGAGATACTGTGGTGCAGTGGACTACTTCATATGTCTCTTCTACCCACAGTCTTTGTAACTCCCATCAAAGTACATTTTCACTTTGATGGGTCTGAGCGAGAGAAGGTGGGAGAAGATGCTGATAGTATTATTCGATTCAGTTGTGAGTGATTACCAGTGTTCATTGTGATTGCAAACACTTAGAACTCTAATATGGGTATAAAATGAGTCATTTCAGAAACAGGAGGAGGAGAGATCTCCCTATCATCAAAGAAGAACCAGGGCATCATTTGTACCCTGAAATTTCTGTGCACTGAACCTCCTTGGTCCAAGGACAGAAAGCTGTGACATCGGAGGAGTGGCAAAGCAGCAGCAGAACCAAGGGCCAGAGCACAAGACAGAGCGGTGGGCTTCCCTGATCCAGGAGCAAGGGAAGCTGAGTGACTTTGGCAGGGAGGCTTGTTTGCAGAGTGTAGTGCCTCCAGACACTTAATTGGGGGAGCTAAGTTTGATGACCTATGGGGCTAGAACCAAGTGCTTTCTAGCTGAGGCTGATGGGGAGTAGTGTGTCCTGTGGGCATTTATCAGCTGCCCTGAAAGAGCTTTATAATATTGGCCTTGCAGAGAGAGACCTGCCTGTGGGCATGGCTGAGGAGTGGCTATCCTGACTGGGAGAACTGTGCCCTGAGCATTTCTGACCCTGAATTGTAACCTGTTGTCTTCACTAATAAGCCCCATAGCTGTGAGTTTGGTGTCTGAGTTCTGTGTGACCATGGCAATGAACTAGCAAAATTAGTTGAATAGAAAGGGCTGTGGGAGGAACGTGTCATTTTCTTTGCAGATGTTCTTTTACAAAATACAAATATATTTTGAGATATGTTTCACTAGTATCTTTTAAATGCATAGTAGATTTGTTATTCTTAAAGGAAAACTAGAGATAAAAATGCTTCACTTTTCTTGAATCCATTGTTTTAAAACAAGACATAAAATGAGACCAGTTGCAGTTGAGTTGATTCCAACTCATGACAACTCCACGTGTTGCAGAGTAGAACTGTATCCCATGTGCTTTCAAGGCTTTCAGAAGCAGATTGCCAGGCCATCTGAGACAACTCTGGGTGAGATTGAATCTTTCCGTTAGCAGTTGAACACTAAATTCATAAATGTATTTTCTATACTTTCCCATGTCTAAAAAGCTAGGATTTTTAGTTCTATAATTAAATTTATCGATACAGAAACTAATACCTTTGTACCTTCAGATTTTACAATGAAAAGTGCTTACTTTCCTCCCTGCTTACGTGCATTTTTTATGTATGGAGGCAAAGAGTGATTCTGTGGATTATAAGTCTAAAAGAGAATCTTCATGTTGGAAGGGATGTTAGAGATCGGTGCAGAATTCATAGCCTTCCTGTCTTCCTTCTGTACTTGTCAGGTTTAGTTCTTCCCAGAGGCTTCTGGAAGGATGGATCCTTGATGAGCACTTAATCTCTTTGATCCTTACAGGAATCGTTGATCAGAGATATGGCTGAGGCTCTCACCCAGTGGGGACAGCTGAACCCTCCTCAGGGAGATGTGTCTGAGAAGCATAGGAACCTGGTCTTGCTGGGTAAGGATGGCTCCCCTTTGCCCTTTGAACTTACTCAGCGTAGCACCTCTGCTTCCTCAGTTGTTAAGATCTCTGAGGTTCTTAGACTCAAATATCCTAAAACTCCATAAGACTCAAGACAGGTAATTTTTGCTTTTTCTTTCTGTACATAGTTTCAATACTTTCAGAAATGGATACGTTAATCTTGGCCTAAGCTGTAGCATGTATCTTTTTGACTTCTTGACCAATGATAGAGATAAAATTCTAGCAAAAATACCTCTTATGAAAACAGGAGCTTATTTTTCTGATGGGGAAAAGTGAGCGGTAAGAATAAACCACTTAATTTTTTGGAACTTAAATCAGTCTTCCTACCTTCTTCCAGGAGAGTAAGAAAGAAACTTAGAACCAAAATCTTTCTTATCCTGTCTTCCTTAAAGATCTAGCAGCTAACTAGCATTGAGTTCTTTAATAGACTCCGCTTCTTTCTCTATGAACAGGGCTTCCAATTTCCAAGCCTGATGTAATCTCTCAGTTGGAACAAGAGGAAGATCTGGAGAGAGAAGTCCCAGAAGCAACCAGCCCAGGTGAATGATTGTTGCTAACAGGCGGTGGTTGGCATTGAAAATAAATCCCAGAAGGTCAGTGGGAAAAGCATCTTTGAAATGCTTGTGGAGGAGTGTTTCACCACATCTATGGAAAAGTTGACCATGACCATCACCCTGTGCCACATTCCAGCTCTTGTAAAATCATAATGTGGTTTTTAAGAAAGGTAAATGCTTCTCTTCCTTCACACCAATTTTTCCCAACTAAGGTGAAATGAAACCAACATTTTAATGTTTGTTAATAACTTGCTTGAGTGCAAGGCTCTAAACCAGGCTCTCCCCCACCACACACATTATCTGTTTTATCTCATAGCTGAATGATGCTAATTTTTTTTTATCAGATAAATGACTATAATTTTATCTGAGTTCTCCCATGCTTCCTTCTCTATCTAAAAAGGAGGTATGTTAACATAGTGTTTAAGAGAGCAAACATGGGAACTAGTCTTTTTGCATTTAAAGCTAAACTCGGACACTCACTATCTCTGTGTCCTTTAACAAGTAACTTAAGCTCCTTTTGCTTAAATTTTCCAAATGTAATATGGAGATAAAAAAGATAACACTTAACTTATAGGGATGTTGTGAGGGCCAAATGAAATAATACAATAGAAATGCTTACTTAGAGCAGTACCTGGCTATTTGCTAAATAAATGGTAGCTTTTTAAAAAATTTTTTTAAGCTTTTATTGTGAATTATGTGATAGTTTACATGGGAGAACATTAGCTTCACATTCATCCTAGCTTACATTGTTTCGTTTCCATGATTACAATCCCCTCCATGCATCATCAAACAACCAAAGGGTATACCCCGCAAGCCTGCGCCTTGGTCATCAGCACATAGCCCCTCTCCCTCTCTGGGTCTAGAGTCCCCATCACTCCAGCTCTCCATGTCATCATCTCTGCCTTCATCTCTGGCGTCACTATTTCTCTTGAATAGGGTCCCATGCTCCACTCTTCTCCCTTGATGGTCCCAGTGACCTCCACTCCTGGATTGCAAAGTCAACCACTCCCCTCCTACAAATGGTAGCTTTTGATTAAGTTCTAGTAACTTTTCTTTGAAAGATGTCATGGATTTGATCTTGGCACTTACATAAGACTGAGTTACTGCAGCTAATTGCACTTTCTGTCTTCTTTTCCTTATTGTATAATTGAGGTGGCATTATTAGACGCCCTACCCTGACTTTTTGATGTTGTTGTTGTTAGGTGCCATTGAGTTGGTACTGACTCATAGTCACCTTATGCACAGCAGAAAAAAACACTGCCTGATCCTGGGCCAACCTCACTGTCATTGCTACGCTTGAGCTCATTGATGATGCCACTTGGCCAGTTCATTTTGTTGGGGGTCTTCCTCTTTTTCTCTGATCCTCCACCTTACCAAGCATAATATCCTTTTCCAGTGACTGGTCCTTCCTGACAATATGTCCAAAGTATGAGAGACCAAGTTTGGCCATCCTGGCCTCCAAGGAGCATTCTGTCTGCACGTCTTCCAACACAGATCTGTTGGTTCTTTTGGCAGCCCATGGCACTTTCAGTATTCTCCAACACCATAACTCAAAAGCATCAATTCTTCTATGGTCTTCCTTATTCACTGTCCAGCTTTCGCATGCATATGAGGTTATTGAA